GTTTATTTCTCTTGATCAACAGCATACTTGTGTTCAAAAGTGTGCGAACAAGCTCATCAACATTAATCATCGATTAATAACAGTTTACATGGAGTTAAATCCTCTGAATAAATACAAAGAACAACAAGAAAAAGTTATGAAGGAGATGGAAACTAAACAAATACAAGATTCACAGAGTCAAGCAAGTTTACAGGAAACAGCTTTGCAATCGAATGATCAACCATCACGATCAAATTTAGCATATCAAGTTGGAGAAACATTTGATGGTGTACAGATAAAAAATACTGCAACTAATTCATCTGGAGTGCACAAAGAGGGTGAAGTTAGATGAGAGTACAAGATAGAATGTTGGTTGTTCAGCTTAATCAACAATCCACTCAAATATCAACTTGTTCTTGTGGAACACTGCCATTTCTGGATATCTGAGTTGGGAATTTAACCCAACCATGGTGGGGCAGAGGTGGATGTGGACTCAAAAGTGCCCTTTTGTGAAAAATTAGAAAATCCCCCCCCCCCCAATTTAAAAATCCTGCCTATGGGCTTGTGTATTGTATGTAAAGCCATATCTCAAATGATTTGCCCTACAGTCAGTAATACATTAGCTATGGTGAAGGTTCTATGTAAAATGTCAATACCACCTGAAAAATAAATTGCATTCGCATTCCTGTATTTCATAATTCTTTATTATATTTCTCAAGTAAAATAGTGCAAAATTTTATAATTACTGTATTTACATTTCAATAATAAATTAAAATTTATTGATAGCACATACGAAGCAATAGTTTATACTACTCTTATTTGTACTCTGTTGTATTTTTCATATTTACAAAACAATTATCCAAGTCAATCCATTACAATTAATAAATTTAGTTTGATGACAACTCTTTAATAATTAGCAGGATAAGTAGTGATAAGCTGGACCCTCACTGTGCCCAACGCCATGATGTGTGCGCAATGGATAGTAAGGGCAATCTGTTCAGACTGCCAATCAGCAAACGGCATCATGTCGGCTCACTCCCACAGGAAGCGGATTTGGATTCGTTGGCCGACTGTCATGCAACGCAGCAGGTGCCTGGCTTTAAAGCGAGGTATTTTCCTTGACAAGGGCCCCAAGAGAGACTTTTTTTATACCTTGTTGCCAGAACCCACCACCCTCCAATATTCATAATTATGAATAAAAATTTAAAAAATATAAAAATAAATATAAAAATTTTTTTTTTTTAAACTTGAATTTTTTTTTCTGTATTTTAATTACACCCCACTGTTGCCTTGAAATCTCCAAAAATAAGATATGTAAATTTCTTCCTATTTATATAAATTTAAACATTTAACCATCCCATTACTACACTGTTTACATTCAACAATTAAATTTTATT